ATTTATTATCAGCTAAATTGGAATTTTGTTTGCAATTAATATTTTCAAATATAAATATAACCTGCACTTATATATTCACAAACACACATATAGACCTTTTAACTCTACATCAAACGTTGTTTTCTATCTTTTTCAATTTTGTCTTGAAGAGCTTGTAGAGCAAAGTAGAATTCGCCGAGACCCAGGTGAGTTGTCCAGGAAATTTTTGTTGGTTTTTTTTTTCTTTTTTTTTTTTTTTTTTTTTTTTTTTTTGCTATATTTAAAAAAAATCGGAACTGGTATATGTTTTATAATAGACATCACTGAATATAAAATTATGTGTCATTTTGTTTTTTTTTTATGCGCAAGGGGGTACCCACCAATTTCAAATGTCCGCTATTTTCAAGCATTTTATTACCAATAATTGTACGTTTATGATATTAAAAGATGCTAATGTGTAAAATATTCTTTCATATTATAAGTGCCAATGAAAATAAAAATAATATTTCACTTTAAATTTTCAAACGTTGTTTTCTATCTTTTTCAATTTCATCTTGAAGAGCTTGTAGAGCAAAGTAGAATTCGCCGAGACCCACGTAAGTTGTCCAGGAAATTTTAGTTGGTTGCTTATTTGCTTTTTTTTTTTTTTTTTTTTTTAATCGGAACTGGTATATGTTTTATTATAGACATCACTGAATATAAAATTATGTGTCATTTTGTTTATTTATGCGCAAGGGGGTACCCACCAATTTCAAATGTCCGCTATTTTCAAGCATTTTATTACCAATAATTGTACGTTTATGATATTAAAAGATGCTAATGTATAAAATATTCTTTCATATTATAAGTGCCAATGAAAATAAAAATAATATTTCACTTTAAAATTGAAATTCCAAATGACCGCTATTTTAAATATTTCGGCTATTTTTAACATATTTAATATACAAAATTAATGATTTAATTAGTCCCATAAAATCTAGCTCTTGAAATGGAATAAATTAATTATATAATTATAATAATCAAAATACACAGAGGTGGGGCTGGTGTAATTACACCTTAGTTGATATGCAAATTAGATCTAATATGCAAATTAGATCTAATTTGCAAATTAGGGATATGCATGCAGCATATCTCGGCAACCACTAACCGTACAGACTTGCTTTCTTTTTTTTTTAAATTGTAGAACATATACATTTCTATTTACTTTAATTTACATTTAGACAAGGTTGACTGATTTGTTTGTTGCTTGAAGTCAGGTCAATTAATTTTGTCAAAAAAAAAAAAAAAAAAAAGAGAAGTTGCGTCATAGAAAGTACAAACGATATTGAGTTGTAAATTCCTGGTCCAGCCAAAACCGGACCAGCCGGATCGCCTCCGACGCCTTGAAAAGTAGGTAGATTTCAACTCTCAAAGTGTAGAGAAAAAATACCTGAAACGCAATGCACATCCCCCATTTTATTGGTTCCGGACCCCATGAGTAGTCGTTACGCTATGTAATTTTTAATTTGCTATTATGAAACATCGATAACCGTTTTATTATTATATCCGAGTGTAAGTAAATGCATGGTTAAGCTTAAGCCTATAGCTGTCCGGCAATGAGCAGTCGGCGGTACATACTAGATATTTATCTCGTACGTACAAAATAATGACTCAAAATATATGTTTATGTTGATAGCAATATGCATCCGAAGCATCACACCTGAAGATTTTTTTTTATACATATATATATATATACAGGAAGGGGATTTCGTCCAAGGTACAGAGGACGTTGTAGGAGGATCAGGAGGAGGAAATATAGGAAGAATAAGAAGAATTAGAAGGATGTTCAAAATTGTGCGCTGATCATTTATTATTCGGTTAGTTAAATTTGTATTAATACACAATACAATACAATTATATAATAATAATAATAATAATAATAATAATAATAATAATAATAATAATAATAATAATAATAATAATAATAATTAAATAGCGCCGTATCCATCAAATAAGATTCCCAGGGCGCTTGATATGTGGACTAAGAACTCGATCAATTTTAAGTTCAAGATACTAAGTTTACA